TAAGATTCTACCAGGTGCATTGTGGGTAGATGAGGACAGATCGTCAGCTCTCCTGTTCAGTCGGATGGAGGATCTGGGCTCCGGGGGGGAGACACTGGTATCCATCGTGGTGTGCAATGGCGTCATTGTGTGTGAGCGGGGGGGGACGGACGTGTGATGGAATCACCTGACTGACCGACCAAACAACTGGAATTCTGTTCAGCCAGTTCTCTAGTAGATCCAAAGCCGGGTCCTCGCCATGCACCGGGGATTAGTGTACCCTGGGGGAGGGTTTCTGTGCCCTCCCATTATAAGATTCTCCCTTGTATGTTGTATGTTGACTCTTCTCTGCTGCAGTCAAAGCAAAACAGCCTGACCAAGACTGTGATTGGATGGTGAAGGGGCAGCAGACTGTGATTGGATGGTGAAGGGGCAGCAGACTGTGATTGGATGGTGAAGGGGCAGCAGACTGTGATTGGATGGTGAAGGGGCAGCAGACTGTGATTGGATGGTGAAGGGGCAGCAGACTGTGATTGGATGGTGAAGGGGCAGCAGACTGTGATTGGATGGTGAAGGGGCAGCAGACTGTGATTGGATGGTGAAGGGGCAGCAGACTGTGATTGGATGGTGAAGGGGCAGCAGACTGTGATTGGATGGTGAAGGGGCAGCAGACTGTGATTGGATGGTGAAGGGGCAGCAGACTGTGATTGGATGGTGAAGGGGCAGCAGACTGTGATTGGATGGTGAAGGGGCAGCAGACTGTGATTGGATGGTGAAGGGGACAGACTGTGATTGGACGGTGAAGGGGCAGCAGACTGTGATTGGACGGTGAAGGGGCAGCAGACTGTGATAGGACGGTGAAGGGGCAGCAGACTGTGATAGGACGGTGAAGGGGCGGCAGATACAAATCTAATCTGCCAGGACGCTGGACCTCGTATACATTGGAGAAATATTGGGTGTGGAACCTGTTGGAGGCCAAATTCTGCACCCCACCAGTCTGACCGGCATGTACTGGAGTGTGCTGGGTTTGTCATGTGATCGTTCTTCACCAGCCATACAATCCTCTCATCTTACATTAAACCTCCTTCATGTAGAGGAATTGGGACACCGTCCCTTTAATTGGTTCTCTTTGACTCTCTCGTGATGCGGTTTGAGTGTCGGTTTGACATCCTGCCGCAGATTCCTGTGTGAGACCGCCATATCTGAGACACTGATCCTCCAGCATGGATGGCAAGGACGGTTTCCTGTGGGTGGCGGCACCGCGTTCCTCCTCTCCTGTGTTGGATATCGCGGACTTCAGGAAAATCGGCGTCATCTGGACTCGCAGAGGAAGGTGAACTCTGACCAGACGCGGACGACCAATGACGGGGAGGTGAACTCTGACCAGAGGCGGACCTCCAATGACGGGAAGGTGAACTCTGACCAGACGCGGACGACCAATGACGGGAAGGTGAACTCTGACTAGACGCGGACCTCCAATGACGGGAAGGTGAACTCTGACCAGACGCGGACCTCCAATGACGGGAAGGTGAACTCTGACCAGACGCGGACGACCAATGACGGGAAGGTGAACTCTGACCAGACGCGGACGACCAATGACGGGAAGGTGAACTCTGACCAGACGCGGACCTCCAATGACGGGAAGGTGAACTCTGACCAGACGTGGACCTCCAATGACGGGAAGGTGAACTCTGACCAGACGCGGACCACCAATGACGGGAAGGTGAACTCTACGGGCCAATGACGGGAAAGTGAACTATAAAAGGAACTTTTTAGTTGCCATGGTTACTGCAGTGTGCGCCCCATCCTCCGGCGGTGACATTGTAGACTCGATGATACATTGTGACGGCTGAGAGGACTTCATGGATTGGATTGGCGTTTTCCTGGCTCGGAGTCCGCAGTGCCGGCGGGCAGCACATGGGCCGAGCCGGGTGTTTCTGGAAAGGTCAGAGGTCACTTCTGATCCCGCTGGTGGAATTGGCTCCCTGCCGGCTCTCCTCGGCTTGTCACAATGTCTGTGTGCAGTGATGTGAATGTGTGTTCTGTTCTCTCCCGGTGAATGTGTGTTCTGTTCTCTCCCGGTGAATGTGCAGCGGATACATTTTATTCGGTGAGTTCCGTCTCCTCGCTGTTCCGGGTATTGTGCGGTGATCGGGACGTTCGCTGTGTGCACACCACACGCGTCACTCCGCCGGTGGTGGAAGTCGTCTCCTGGCCGCGGTTCAGCGCACACACATGTTCTCCCGATTCCTAACATGTTGTCAGTCGGGGAACACGACTCTCACGTCTGTCATTATGCGTGTCGCGTGGTCGCTGGAAATGAATTGCGTCTACAACAGTGAAAGATTCCTTCAGTCTCTGATCTCCCTCTGTGACTAGACATCGGCCTGACTTCTCTGACCGCACACTACACCCGG